AGCTAGAGCTTTGAAGCTTCGGTAGCAGTGGTTCCATTTTTGCAAGAAGGGGTTGCCAGCCTTACGCCTGACCTTCCCTTTTTAACATTCTTAATACTGCCTTAGCAAGGCTCAGGAGTGCATAGATATGCTGATGGAAGTATCCTTAACTGAACGTAATGACTTAGGAATCGACTTGTTACCAGGGTATAGTCTTATGGACTTAGAATATGCAGATGACATAGTCCTGTTAGGGGAGGATGCTGACAAAATGCAGAGTCTTCTGAACATCTTGAGCAGCAATCTTCGTATGTTTGGCATGCGATTCGCCCCTACAAAATGTAAGATGCTGCTACAGGACTGGACCACGTCAACCCCTAACTTAGTGATAGGGAGTGAAGTGAAAGAACATGTTGACCACTTCACCTATTTGGGAAGTTGTATTAGCACCAACGGACTGATTGGCGATGAAACCTCAGCACGGATCCCAAAAGCTCGAGCTGCTTTCGCTGACTTACACCATCTCTGGCGTAGGCGTGACATCCGGTTATCAACCAAGGGACGTGTGTACTGCTCAGCAGTTCGCTCCGTCCTTCTCTATGGCTCTGAAACATGGCCAATACGCGTTGAAGACATGAAAAGGTTGACTGCTTTCGATCATAGATGTCTGCGATCTCTGTCTCACGTTAGGTGGTTTAATAAGGTAAGTAATGTTGACGTTAGGCGTAGAGTGTTGGGCAAACAGGGAAAATCAATCGACAAGGCTATAAAGTTACATAGATTGAGTTGGCTAGATCACGTGCTGTGCATGCCTAATCATCGCCTCCCCCAACGGGCATTACTAGCTGATATAGGTGAAGGTTGGAAAAGAGTAAGTGGTGGCCAAACAAAAACATGGCCTCATCAATCCATGAAATCCTTGACAGTTAATCTGAGTCAGGTAGGGAGATGCAGACTTCCTGACTGGTTGGGGCCCTCGGGACTCTAGGAATCAATGGCTGGAGACAATAGGTGACATGGCTCAAAATCGTTGTCAATGGCCAGTGCAGATGTATTCAGTCTCTCTAATCTTTCATACTCCTTTCTACCATTACCCATTCTGTTTCACTTTCATACTCGTCAAACTCTATTAATTCTCTCCACTCATCTTCTGGTCTACCTTTGTGTGCTATTTGGAACGTGGCAACTGGAACTGGTGCACTTCGGTGCCAAGTTCTATGTTGAATCCAGACAGACAGACAGACAGGAGTGCATCAGGCAGGGGTCGAACCCCGGACCACATACGTGGTTGGCTAGCGTTCTACTGCTGAAACATCGTCGCACACAGAAAACAGGGTGGCGAAGAGAATTTCAGCAATAAACAAATACTTCAGCACTTTGCACAGGTAGTCCAGATCGCATGAAGCACAATGACAGAAATCATAACAGAAGACCATGAAGTTTCGGTGTCATTACTTATAATACTTTCGTAAGATCACTTAACAGGGTATTCATGATATATATATATATATATATATATATATATATATATATATATATATATATATATATATATATACATGTTGGTGAGTGTGATGTGATGTAATCACTGTATTTTTCTGGCAGCAGTACCTCGTGTTTTCACTGTCAGTTCTCAACAAAACAACCTTTGACTTAGCAGTTTACGTCCATATTTCGCGCTTTTTGTTCAATTTTTCTCATATTCACCCACATAATGTCGACGATCATGATAATAGGACTCAGAAAACATAACTAATCTTGGCGTTATACAATATCTAAAGCAATCTGTGAAGGTTCTGAGATAAATACGTATGTTTACAAACTGATAGCAGAGTGATAATTAATGGTGTTTTGCTTCGGTAAATATACCGATCTGACCTAAATATTTTAGTAGTACAATGTCTAACTTCAGCGCTGACTAACACAAGTTTGAGTTTCAGAGAGGACTTGAATTTCTTCACAACTACGAGCGCCCATTGCTAATGAGCGTCAACTAGACTAGACTAAAACTTAGACCAGGGTTTTCGTGACAATTAACTCTTCTGAATATTTACTTATTCACTAAACTCACCTTGTTACGAAATTTGACACCGTAAAATTTCTCAGCTGATTCTAACAACTCCGGACGAAATGTGGTGGTGATGAATTGAGCTTCAGACTTCAGATCTCTAATCATGTCAGCCACAGCTTTCCGGTATTGTGCATCTAAAGCAGCATCAATTTCATCAAACAAGTAAAACGGTGCTGGATCACACTTTTGAATTGCGAAAATTAAGGTTAGAGCAACTAGTGATTTCTGTCCACCGGACAATTGATTCATATCACGCATATCAGCCGAATCTCCAGTGAAACTAACGCGTATACCCACACCAATAAATCGTTCCACGTCAGGAATAACACTGCCAACACCACCAGCACCTTCGTCTTCATCACTGCTCCCCTCACCCTCTTGCTATAACGGTTTTTTCGGAGAAAAAAAGAAATCCATATTACAAACAATAAAGTCGACAGCAACACAACGAACAGTCGTAGCAAAATGTGATTTCTATCTGAATTAGTAAACCTGAAATAAATTTACTTTTTACACAGGCTTTGAAGAATTCGGTAGTACCCATTTAATTTAATTTTGCAATACAGTGAATAATGAAATGAGCAGATGGAAATTTTCACATTTTCCTGCTACACGTATCACAAGTTGTTATTTTTCAGGGTATTAATGATAATAACAGTAATAATACTAATGTGTAATTAATTACTCAGTACACGCATAACTGATATATGAGGGTTTATAATAACATCTTATTTCTTAGGTCACAGTAGGCGAGGAACAGCGTGGAGACGTGATTCATTGGCTTAAACCCTCGAATTACAAAACAAAATAGGTCCAAGGTGGTTTGAATCCTCCTCCTCCGGCAACTTTAGCCGTCAAACAATAGACGTGGCTAGTAGCTTCATACATGACAGCCTAAACCACTCACTTTACACTAATCAAACTTTTATTTAACCTTATGAGAATTACTAAATTTGTATAAGTGACAGAAATAAAATAAACTCAGAAACTGTTTACTTGTTTATATGAGGAATAATAGGCGGAGTGAAATCCAAGATGGGCATTTCGTCTTACTTGGGACACGTCAGTTGGAATTAGCCGCAATCCCAGTCAGTGGTTATCAGTGAGAACACCACCATTCACTGGAAATCCAGGTAAATTCAACTAGCGAATGCCAAGTAGCACAAAATATGTGCCCCTAGCCACCTACAACCATGTGATATCACGTTAATCTAAAGACATCATCGAAGTATCTGTACTAGGAGCCAACATACAAAAGAGACGGAGCATTTCGGTACAATACGATCAATCAGTGCGAAATACAACATAACTTAAATAAAAAATAATGGAGAATATGTGTAACTCAGGATTTCGACTCCATTTTAGAAGGTAAATGTTTTTGAGACAAAATACAAGTTACCATCTGACTAAGCGTAGATCTCCGCAAAACAATCTAATAAGAATGCACATTTTGCAAACAGTAAGATGAATGCTACAGAAATAAAGTGAACACTTACACGAACTCCTTTTTTCATGACTAATTCTGCACGACCTTCAGGAACAAGGCGTTTAAAAATATCCTGAAAATTCTTTGACACCTTTAAACAGAATAAAAAGGAGGGGAAAATAATTGTAAAAAAGACAATCCGATGGTCCTTTAAAACAACAAGAAAACAAACACCTATCACGACAAAATAAACAAACGACTGGAATTAAACAAAACAAGTTAGGCACTAAAGGAGTACAGAGAAGTGTTTCATTTGCCATCACCACACTTCAAGACAGCCAACAGAAGACAAACATAATCATACTATACTGATGGCTTTAAAGAGTATTAAATTTGATGAAACCATCTTAGGCGGCGAATAATCAAATCACTGACTAATTTTCCTTCTTTACCTAACATACCACATCTAGTTTCAACACTCTCCAGATTGTTGTTCATCGTACACAAGTGATTCTACGAAGGTGAATATAGAAGAAATCTGCAATATTCTTATTTCACTTGCTTTTGACAACCATGATGAAGTAAGAAAGTACGGTGGGTAGTGAGGTACACTTGCAATTCAATAAGTAGCAAGATATGCCTCCAGATAATGCACAGGATACCACAAGTAGATAATTACAGCGAGCTAAGATTTCTTCGCCAATCCGACCATCGAGGTCGGTATGATATGCAACGGAACTGAAGTGATCAACACATAAAAATCACATAGACGAACCTGTTTAAATGTTAGTTGAATAGCTTCATACTTCTGATGATCTAGTGCATTCATCAAATCTTTAATTGCTTGACATCCTTTATCTAATTCTTCTTTTCGTTTGAGTAGTTTTTCTTTCTCCTCCGAATGTGATACAAATTGGTCAAGAGCTTTTTTGTTTACATGGCTATAACGTTTCAATTCACGATTGGCTTTATCAAGAAGTTTGAAGAGCTAGAAAGATAAGAAGAAATGGAAAATAATACAAATAGACAGCAATGTCTGCTTTTAATACCCTAGAGTTCAGCATCAGAGAATATCAGATAATGATGTAGCACAACAATCTATTCAACGCTAGAGAACACCATAATGTATTTTGAATGATAGCGTTAGTCGTCTGTACGTCTATGTTCCATGTTCCAGAAACTGTGTTTTAGAAACTAATAAATACAACTTCTTTATGACCTGACTAACCAGAATTTCAGCGTAGAGATTTGTACAAGAAGCTCAGCGGTTCAAGTTGCTACACTCCATGTGGCATGCAAAGGTGTAGAGGAGAAAAAAAGAAAAAAAACTATAATCAGCCAGAGAGAGAACAGGAGAAAGAATACTAATAATACGAAAAACATGAAGATTTAACTAGTGAAGGGAGCAGATTAGATAGAAACTTTTACAATTTAAGACCATCCGACTAGGATCATTGACTAGTTTCATGTAAAAAGCTATTCGTTTTGCTGTAGTCTGATTTTATTTTTAAAATTTTTGTTTACAGCTTGATTCCACACCGTATTTTTGGTACAAGTATGGAATTTCCAGCATGGATATCGGTAGCCCAAATTTTGCAGGCCGGCCGTAGATATCAGGTGTGAGTCGGCAGGGGATCGAACCTCGGACCATGTGCATGGTCGGCGAGAGTCCTAACCACTGTGCCACCGACGCACAGTGATTGGCAGATAACCGACATGGAAACAGTCAGATCATCGGCTTACTTAACAAAATTAGCCTCATTAGAATCAGAAAAGTCAATTAAGAAGAAGGAAAAAACGAGGGGTAGGTAAAAAGTAGTACTTTTAGGGACACCGGTTACAGTAGGTAAAGGAGTGGAAGACTTTCCTTTACACATAAAATGCACTGTTTCCAATCAGAAAAATAAGAATGCGACCATTTATCAATCCAGCACTCTGTTTGTGTCACAGCAAGCTTATTTCACAAGAGATGCCTAAGTACAGAGTCAAAAACACATGTGTAATCTAGGAAGGCAAACAGAACATCCTCAGCAGCTTTACCTAAATTGGAGACAATAGTATGATGTAAGACAATAGCAGCATCTAAAGCACATTTAATATGTCTGTAAGCAAATTGTTAAAAGCCTTCAATACAGCATCAAGCTTGAATAAGAGTGACTTTATTTTAAAAAAATGGTGAGGTGATAGCAGTAAATCATGATTTAGACACCGGGACAATTTGAATGTGTATCCAAGACGCAAGCAGAACACTTGTTGGAAATGATGTATTGAAAATATCAACAAGTGAATGATATATGTATTATCCACAGATACGCCATCTAAACCTAGAGATTAGACAGATTTCAATAATGGTCAACAACTAACTGTGTACATTAATTAATACTCTGTGAACGTGCCTTGTGCTAAATAAACTAAACTAATATACAATTGAAAACAAACTTTTAACACTATTTACAGGAAGACAGACATGGTGTTTTTGAATGTCACTAATAGCCGTTAGGACAACAAGTTGAATAAGTTTCTGTGTGATCCTTTGTATCACGCGTATTCATATTTTCCTTCATGTAATTTTTTTGACTAGGGTTTCTCAGGAATAACACAGTAGAGAAAGTGACGACTATATACATATTTAGTGCTAAGGACACTCCCATACTTACTAAAACAAGAAAAGAATCCATATTGCAGAATACACAACTTAACCGGTTTCCTCACCAATCAAATATACAAAATCCTACGGTAAAGGAAACAATAAGTTCTGTTCTAATAAAACATCTGAAAAATAGCTTGATGGAAGTATCCTAAAAATATTCTCACAAAGTCATGTAACCCCACGGTGAAAAGAGAAAAGTACATTTTAGAAATACATCACAGAAACTGCACCACACACTATGGGCCACACATTTTGTGACGGTAGGCTAACTCAGACCAAATTAGGTGGAATGGGATGTCAATCAGCACTAAATACTGAAAGTTAAGTGTCAAAGCCAATGAACAACATCTCCATGACTAACCACATAAACTGAGATGGTAGTTTACTTGAATTAGTTAGAGTTATAGCAAGGGTTGAAATTAATATCAGTAGAGTAAAGGTCGAATCCGATATGAACATATAAAATATATTACTACTTACCTGAGATATCACAGCCAATTAGTTATTCAGTTAGTGAAATGATATAAACTGAACACATTTCTGGATGCTTAGATTTTAACCTTGCACAAACAAAGATGTGGACAGCTGAACAAAACTTCCAGTTGTTAGGGTGTGATGACCTTTAAGTGAACTTTTTTTACAAATTCACATGAGCTGGGGAACCACTTAAAATCAATGAATATTGGGTAGTCTTTTCGTTTTACTTAGGGACTCATCAGCAGTGTTTACTATTTGAGACTCCTAGTTCGAGTGATCCCAAAACCACCAAACATCAAGACGAGTATTCACCATCGAGATACTCTGATGAAATCCGATGGTCAATTATGTCTAATTATTATGAGTTCAAAAGTTCGTTTGGATTGAACATATTTACAAAGCAAACATACCTGTTTTATATTTTTATCTTGAAACTTATCAAAGGTATTTGCAGGTAGTGATCCTAGATCGCGTATCTTCTTCATATTCTCTTCTTTCTATAAATAGTGGAACAGAAAGTATTTCTGAAAAAGCTTGTGATTTCAACAAAGTTAGTGAATTATAGCTGGGAATAACACAAAAATTGGGCCTACGACATATAATTCCAAAAATACAAATGAGGGGAATTAGTGGATTGATTTAAACACCTTGCGGATTCCAAACGCCAATTGACACAAAGGTCTAAGCAGACAGGTAGTGCTTTCTATCTACTGACCTGGTGAACTGATAAAAGCACTTAACAACTACTTCGAATTGCTAGAGTAGTAGGTGTCACTCGAAGAATAAGATCTGAATTATGCATTCAAAAGAACGACACTATCATTAGCATATTACTACTTTGATAAGCACTGACTTTTTCACTTTACCTCTCCAGTATTTTATTTCATCTGATTTTTCGCCCCTACAATCAATCTAAATCAGTTTATGCCTCAATATCTACTTTAGCAAGTTTAATTATGATTTTTACCATTTACTTGGTCCATTTTTTTTTTAAAAAGAATAACCCTTCTCGTGATTTCGTAAGCACTCTTACTTATTTAATTCAATTCTAGATTTTCCCGTCGATTGATTGGACCTAAGTGCTCGGTCTCAGGTTGACATGTCGGTTTCTTGTGTAGATGCTTCGATAATGTCTGGACATGTAATTAGAAGTTAATTGGTGGATGGTGACTAGCAGTGGAATCCAGAATGCGCATTTTGTCCTATTTGGGACTCGCCATCTAGATGTACCTGCATTCCCAAGTGAGTGGTGATGATACCACCACCGAGGCTTGAACCCAGTGCCCATATCATCATCATCACTCACTTTGGAATGCATTTACATCCAGATGACGAGTCCCAAATAGGACGAAACACGCATCCTGGATTCCACTGTTATCACCATCCCCAACTCCTACTCATATTTAAATCCATTCCTAAATCAGAGGATATTCTCTTCCTTACATTACACGAATGTCTTTGCTTTGATTACCACTTTATTATTCTAACTTCTTATATAGTTTGGACATAGTATTCATCTTGGATGTTATGATGTTCTACTTTTCCGAAAATGACTGACTGACTGACTGACCATTCACTTAAAATATTATAATGTCACAATGATTGCTTATGTATCTTATCAATTCAGGATGTGCGTAGCTGATGATGAAACCCTAAGAGACAAAATGAAATCATCTTATCCTAAATAAACTGATTACATTGCATTATTCACGCCTTTTGTATGTCTTCTAGTAAACTATAAGAACGCCGAAGAAAATAACAGTTGACTATTTAAACTTCAATAGACAAAATGACGTTTAAACAGGTGATTCAATGAGTTCAATGTGTAAACAATAGCTTTTATCCCCGATGTGGAATAATTTATTAGAAAAGATGAAGCTGATAAGACTAAACTGAAGACGAAACCCCAAGCAACAAAAGTCTACTATTATCACATAAAATAAACTGAAATGACAAAAAATACTCCCAAAGGATAGATAATAATTTTCACTTAACACATACCTTTTTCAGCAGTTGACTTTGTTTAGATTGCATTTTCTCTAAGTTCTGTTGATCATCTTGTATACGTTCAGCGTATTCTTTCTCTTCTTGCTTTTTACGCTCCATTTCTGATTCTAGTTGACGTTGTTCATGCAATAAAGCTGATAGACGAGCTTCAACTTCATCTACTGTACGCTGCGCATCTTCAATACGGCGTTCAACCTACAGAAGAACAAACTCGTTTATTTCATAATAGCAGTAAGAATTATGGTTGATATATAGTCAAAGCTAAGTTACAAGATGTAGTAGAATAATTAACATTAACCCACACGACTCAATGGTTGACATAGAATCAGTATAGGTACAAAAGACTCGCTTGGCTACCATTGAAGTGAGTGATTTATGACATAGATAAGTTATTCCAGTGTGTCAGCCAGTCTCCAAGTGTATAAAAGATATGTGGATGATACTTTTATAGGTTGTGATGATAACCATTCAACTACTGATTCCTCGGGGAATTTAACGGTTGTCACCCGTCTATGCTCTTCAATATGGAAAAAGAGCCAAGTTTTACATTCCACTTCTCAGATGTTATACTGGAGAGAGAAAAAAATGGTTCATTAAAAAGACATACCTACCGAAGGCCAATATTTACAGGGTGGTATAATTACTTCAAGAGTTGGATACCTCTAGGTAGAAACAGAAACCTTATCCATTCTTTAAGTCTCAGAATTCTGAACATCCGCTCTAAAGATACGGTCAATAAAGACCTAGAAAACCTTCGTATACCATCCTTAAATAATAGATATCCTAGAAGGTTCATTGTAAGAAATATGAGGGAAGAAATCGTTCCTATCCAAATAATAGTGCTACACAAGAAACTTTATGAGTTTATTATTCAAAGGTGACATTACGGTAGAAGTTATTGAAAGTCATCTATCGAAGTGTTTTAAATGCTCTTCTTATACCGCTGACTTACAGCTGGTATTTTCTGGCCGAAGTATAATTCGACAATGCGAGAGAAAGTTACACTACCATTTATGTCTACTTTGCTTTGGAAATTTTGTAATTCGTCCGCGCTAATTCTATCCTCTTAAAAATCATGTTAATTATCTTTATCTCTGTCTGTCTGTTTTCGACAGAGAACTTTGCACCGATGTGCAGTAGTTTGAGTCGTCACACTCCCTCCATGTAGCACACAAAGCAAGAGAAGAAGGTAGAAGAAATGCATAATAGAGACAGTAAACAGAGGTGTGAGATAAAGGAATAGTAATAACTTAGAACAACATAGTTTCATTAGAAATCATAAGTCACAGGAAGTGGATGCATCTGCGTCAGTGAGAACGATTTTGAGCCATATTACCAACTGTTTCCAACCATTTGTTTTTACCGTCACGAGGACCCCAAACAGTCACGCAGTCTACACCTTCCTACGTGGCTGGCTGAAACTAACTGTTGTGGATTTCATTGACTGGTGCCATGTTTCGGTTTGACCACCGCTAGCTCTTTTTCAGCCTGACCCTATGTCAGCTAACATTTCCCGTCGAGGAAGGCGATTACCAGGGATACGTAACATATGTCCTAACCATCTCAGTCGATGTAACTTCACAACCTCGTCGATTGATTTCCCCTCCTTACCTAGAACTCGACCAATGCCTAACTTCAATATTGCTCACCCTATTATACCACTTCACACGGGAGATAGAGCGCAGGCACCTATGATCAAAGACAGCCAGCCAGGCTTTTCATATTTTCCACCCTCAATGGCCAGGTCTCACAGCCATAAAGGAGGACGGTGCGGACTGATGAGCAGTACACCCATCCTTTGGTCGATAGCCGGATATCACGTTTACTAAGCCAGAGATGGCGTAAACTGGCGTATGCGAAACTAGCCCTCTGTATCCGTGCTGAGATTTCGTCGGAGATCAACCCGTTAGGGCTGATGGTTTGTTTAATATCTTTATTCTTCGCATAATTACATTGACTGAGCAATTTCTAGTGCCACTTACTGCCTTTTGTCGTAATACAAATACGATTTTACGGCTTGCAAGTGAAATCATTGAAAAGAAATATTTCTTCACTAGAAAAACTGTGTTTTAAAAAATACTAACCGTAGAGTTTCTTTCAGGAGAATATTATTCGAAGAATAGTAGCAAGTCTTTCCTGAGAGATTTTTACAACCGTTTATAGGGGATGCTTATCGTAATATCGCCCTTAAATTAGAAATTTAACAGCAATATTTTTCTTAAAGCTACACGAACTTGCTCAGCAGACCTTTTGGCTTTCTGGTTCTTGTAATAAAAACGTCAGCTCATGATGAAATCCTGTAACCAATCAACCAAATCCCTACAAACCAATACTTGAATACCAATTAGATGCTCACTGGTGACTGGCCCTATTCAGGTAGGTAGTTACCTGGGGTTCCAGTGGGAAATCGTGACCAGTAGGGTACAGCAGGTCGGGTGTGAGGACAAATACTCGCCACAGAAGACATTGGCTAGCGGTTGCGCTATATCGTGAATTGGCAGAAGTTAGAACTGATGGGCTATTGGATCGGGTACCAGTGGCTTAATAATATACGAGCTAGCTCGCCTTGTAACCGGAAGGTCCTGGGTTTGAATCTCCTGTGGTGGGTACGTACTGCTGAAGAGTCTCAAACTAGGACGAAACAGCTGTCCAGTACTCCCAGGTTTTCCAATGGTTCTTTAACTAATGTCAGCTCATGATGAAATCCTGTAACCAATCAACCAAATCTCTACAACGTCTACTGTTATTTAGCAACACAACATTTGTGTGAATTCTGAGTTAACCAGTGTAAGTACTAATTATGTAAGGATAGGGAATCAAAAGGAAATTAGAACTAGCAGAAGTAGAAAACATATGAGGTTTCCAGACCATCGCGAAATCTCAAAAACTAAAATACGCTCGTATTATTAACGTTCTTTGTTTTTATTGACTATAATTTACAAAAAAGTAAAGTAAAAACAGACTATGAAATATATATAAATAGAGTGTCGTATGTATAAATCATTCAAAAAAGATGGATCTTACTTCACGTAGTTCTTCCTCAGCTTCGGCTAAACGATCCTGTAAATCTTGTTCAGAAGCTTCAGCAACTTCAGATTCTAATTGTTCTTGTTTTCTTAGCAGGTTATGTTCCAACTGAGTTTCTTTTTCATTTTTCTCAGTTTCCAATGTAATTCGTTTCCTATGTAAATACGACAGCACAGATAATCAAATGCGAGTTAAGAAAACGACATATTTCTCAGCTATTCTTCTAACTCAACCAATTTCTATTTTACTTAAAGGTGGAGTGGAAATGTAAGTCAATAATCACTTACGTGTCCACGTACCTCAATGTGTTCCACATGTTATATAAGTACAGTATCTGGCTGCCTCAAAGTTGCACAAACGGAATGAAATCCGAACATGTAGCTCGTCGGTTAACCGTGAAGCATCGTTAAAATCAAGAGAAGATTTACAGTCTCATTACAGTACTTTTCAATGATTCATATCAGTATAATGAGTTAACTAGTGTGCCAGTGATTCAATGGTAGACTGCTCACTAATCACGCATGTGGTCTGGGCCAGAATCTCGGTTGACACACTCTTAAACATCGACTAGCCGGTAATACGTCCAGAAAAGAAAGAAGGTTGGGCATAGGCCCAACTCCACTCTGGTAAAAATAACACAAGAGCTACTGAGAATTCAAGGCCTGAAGTACTATGTTCCACTTGCAACGCGAAAGAATAAAAAATCAACAGTTCGGTAACTAATTTTAATGTAACAACTCAAAGTCTCTCTTCAAGAAGACAAGTTATGCAAAACTTATTCAAAAAATCTCAAACTTTGAAGTGGCCTTATATATATATATATATATATATATATATATAGCATAAACGTAAATTAAAGAAGAGAATTAGATTGATAATCTTATATCGAAACAGACAGTTAGGTGCAAAAATACCGACAAACAACTTACTTGTAAGCTTCTTTAGCCTCTTTAGTTAGTTCTTGAATTTTATCATTTAAACGATCAACTTCACGTTGCTCTTGAACAGATAACTGACTTAATAAATCGGTTCCTAATTCAACCTATGATTAAAAAGGAAAAGAAATTAGTTGGATTTTAAGGGTTATGAAACCAAACAAATCCACGAAAATACCAGTAATTAATTTATTAGAACAAGACATATAAGCGAACAATATTGTTTTCAATTCGATCATCTTCACGCTTTACTCTAATTTATATAGATTTAGATATATAAAATTTTAACCAATGACGGTGATTTTGTGGATCAAATAATAATAATCATAATAATAATAATAATGTAGTAAATTATTGAATTGAATTTTTTGATTTTCCCGTCGATTGATTGGACCGAAGTGCTCGGTCTCAGGTTGACATGTCGGCTTCTTGTGCAGATGCTTCGACGATGTCCTGGATTCCACTGCTAGCCACCATCCACCAATTGTATACTAATGTAGTAAATGTTTTGAACGAAGTTAATAACGATGATTATAATAATAACAAAATATTGATAATATAGGTGATAAGAATAACAAAGTTAGTATGTGCATATATGTAGACAATTCAATAAATAAATAAATAAATTAGGTCAAATCAAATGGAACGATAATCAGAGTTTAAATAAATATCATAAAAGTACGAAGGAAATGGAAAATAAGAAAGGGTGGGAGGGTTTTGAATAGAATTCACCTAGGCCAAGGGAGAGACAAAGGTAGAACAAATCTCTTTTGTATACAAAGACTAGGAATTGTTCTCTCGAATTCCCATAGCTTCGGCTAAGTGCAAAAGACGGGTTCTGATTCCGTTCGAAAGACTCGATGGAATGCGGTAAATAACTTTGAAAGCACTATTTTTGTCCACTTGGTGACCACACTATCAATCAAATGAGCCAAAATAGAACTTCGTATGGATTTTATTTGACCTTTTCCGAACCATGAAATCTCTAAATTAATTTATTGTTACTTTGTTCCTTTGCGTTCCGAGTAGAACATAGGGCTTCAAGCTAGATGCTTGAAGTTTCTGTAGCAGTGGTGTTTAGTTTTACGGGATTTGGTTGCTATTCTCATCCCCAACCTCCCCTCTTTATCAGTCTTATTGCTGGCTTAGCCAGGTACAGGAGTGCGTTGGCCGGGGGTCGAACCTCGAACTACCTGCGTGGTTGGCGAGCACCAGTGCACCATCAGTAGCTAATACACAACGTAAAAAACCTAAGAATTTGGATAACAACAGGTTAAATGAACAACTTTTCTAACCACTGTCGAATTTTACAATATCCTAAAAGTAAACTTCAAAATTTCGGGGGAAAAATGGATTCCATATAGGTTCAGTATTACAAAAAAAGTACCAGGCAGGTGTGTTGTTACGCGTCTGAAAACTTAATACATAAGATTTCGTGTGCATTTTTCACATATTATACGATATTATGAAATGAAGGAATTTACGAAATTCACTTCTCTAAAAATCGTATAAAGTAGTATTGTCTAACATTGAAATAAAAAAATGATCCAAGTTAGGAAATCCTATGGTATTGGAATCACTAATTTGAATAAGTGAATCTCACCATTTAAAAAAAATATTTTCTGACCCCAAAATGAACAGAATCATTAAGATGGGAAAAATTAATAAGAAGTTATATAAATATACATCCGTTAAACTGATGCACCAATATTTATGTCACTACTAGAAAACAATAAAGTGAATACACCACTAAATAACTTTTATCTGAAACACTTAACTGTACCAAGTCTATCTAATATATGGGATTTTAAAAAAAAAAGAAATAGACTAATCACCAACTAACCTTGTACGATTCCATTGTGTACTTCATTTGATCCAAATCATGACATAACGAAGATAATTTATATTCTTTCTGTGGTTTAGTTTCTTGTTTTGCGCGTAGTTCTTCTTTCCACATATGAATATCCTTCTTTAATTTATCAAACGTCATTCTAAAACAAGAAATCATTTTTATACCATGAGTTGAGAAGAAACTGGATCGAGACTAGTACACTGTTTAGATTGATGTAACAACTTCAATATTAACAAAATCCTTTAGTGTCGGTAATCTTGTAAATGTCTACTAATTAGTAACACGGACGGCCAATAATAATATCGGTTATCATTCATTCACACCATATTTGTGAATTCTATTCTACAGTGTGATTGATTAGTGTAACCATCTAATACCGAAACCTGCAATAATTCCTTCTCAGAAGACTATACTTACTTCTCAACCACTGGATCAAAATGATTATACAACTAAGTAGAATATTATAGAATAGCACTAAAAAAGTTTACGTATCTCTTAAATCTTGTGAATCCACTTAGCAGATCAACTGACGGTCGGTGAACAATATGCATATCACTACTCATAAAGCATAAACCACTTAAGCAAAAGTATATCAAAAGTTTGACTCTGAATATTTAATGTAGGAAAACGATTGGTGGTTGGTTTTATTAATACAGGCGGGGTACACATACTCACACAGTCCCAACAGTTCGTTCTAAAAATTCATAAAAGATATAGAAACATCATATTTAAGGAAGTTTATTCCAAGCTCTCTTTTTTCTAAAGAAAGACAGGTGAAGACGCTTTGAGTGACACGTTGTGTTCTGTAGTTTCTAACACTTAAAATTCATTAAAACCTTTAGTACATACTGGCTTTGGTGAAGATTCACGACAAAGTGGTAAACATGAAGGTATAATCAATCATGATCACATACAACTTGTCAACTAAGCGGCTTGTGGATGATTTGTACTCTTCTTGATTTCAAACAATCACTCTCACAAACTATATGGTAAACTGACTGGTTTCAAGAAATAACTTTACACAGAAGTTCAGCAGTTCCAGTTGCCACATTCTATGAAGCATACAAAAGAAGACAATATAAAAAAAGATTTGCAGGTACAACAATAGGCACAAATGTAAGGAAGAGCTGATAGTAACATAGGGAAACAATAAGGTTTATTTTGGATATGTCAGACCAGAGACAGTAAGTACATCTGTGCCACTGAGAAAGAATTTGTGCCGCATCACCAATAGTTTCCAGCCATTGGTTCTTAGAGTCACGAGGACCAACCAGGCAGTTAACACCTCCCTATATGACTCAAACCGGCTGTTAGAGATTTCATGAACTGATGCCATATTTTCGTTTGAACACCACTAGCTCTTTTCCAACCTAACCATACGTCAGCTAACTTTGCCCACCGAGGAAGGTGATGGTTAAGCATGCGCAACATGTGCCCTAAACATCTCAATCGATGTAAATTCACAGCCTCGTCGATTGATTTCTCCTCCTTACCTAGCACTCGACAACTGACCTAAATATTGTTCACCCCATTATACCGCCTAACACGGGAGACAGAATACAGACACCTATGATCAAAGACAGCAAGCTTTTTTTGTTTCCTAACTTCAATGGTGATGTTTCACTCACAATCATAAAGGAGGACGGAGCAAACTGCTTAGTACACACGTCCTTTGATCGATAGTCCGCTGGATACCATGTATACACCAGGAACGATGTAAGTGGGAAAATACCACACGAGACTTTTGTTTCTGTGCTGAGATTTAGTCATTAATCAGCCCATTGTGGATGATACAACTTCCCGAATAAGTGAAGTGGTCAACATGCTCTACCACCCCACTTCCCATCTTTAAGCTAGGAGTTTATACAGTCCAATCCTGTAGCATTATCTTACACTTGACACGAGCAAATCGCATGCCGAACATTTGATAGTTGCTGCTCAGAGCGTCCCGAAGACTGTGCATCTTATCACAGTCTTCACCTAGGAAGACTGTATCATCTGTGTATTCCCTGGTAACAATTCAATCTCTAAATAGCTGAAATCAGTTGGTGTTAATTCCATTAGTACGTCTATGATGAGATTAAACAAAAAAAGGGGACAGTGAACATCCCAGATAGACACCACTGGTTATCATCACTTCAGATGACAACTATCCCTAGACCGCTGCGTGAGTTCGAGTGGAGTGCCTTGATTTAGTGAAAGAACAACTAATAATACAGCATCAGAGAAGCCGAATCTTTTAAATAGGTACACTGTTTCATTTCCCTTCGTTATTAGTGCGTGTACAATGACGAATAAATAAGATAAATATTCCAATAGGGTATTTAAGACTGACTTAAAAAAAGATGTTATAATGATTCATCAACCAGTATATTAATGGTGCTGCTTGAGTTGAATAGATATAATCGTCTGTATTACGTCTAAGGATCCAAATTATTTTTCTAGAAACTACCACTGAGATAAGAAGATTCCTTTGGTGTGATAGAATATGAGAACATTTGAAATGATCGAAAAAATTTCGAATTTCTCATTGATTAGTTTTAATGGACTGATACGCTCAGTGTGTGTTGACATATCAACACCCCTAGTACAGACACTTCGATAATGCTTCGAAGTTAACCTGGCGGTGGCAACCTTGGATCTACTGCTAGTTATCATCAACTAAATATGACCAATACACAGTGGTAAACTTATTAAATTGCATAAAAGTCCTCTAACGCTTAGATTTTTAAACTCACTCATGTTTTGATCGTACTGTATCCTTACGTTGTACATCATCTATAATACGATTAATTTGTGCATCCACTTGTTCTTTACGTTTAGCATTATTTTCACGAACGTTTTCAGTTTCTTGAATTTCAATTTCTGTCTTCTGTTTACGTTTCTGTAATTCTAATCGTGACAATCGACTGTCGTAATATCCTCCAGTAAGTGTACCTTTACGTGATACTTGATCACCTGTATATACGCGTGAAAGAAAAAATAAGCGATAAGAGACAATCAATCTCTCTCCCCCCCCGCCCCCCGGCCAATAGTAAATGCTCATCTCCCTCCATTCGGTAGTTAAAGGGACAATCAAGCTTTACGAATAAAATTCATGAAATACGCGCGCAAAAGTGCAATAAAAGTTACAGTAGTTTTAATGAAAACGACTACTCTACAGAATTCAATACCATAATACATCAACCTGAGTGAGAACAATTCTAAAACACGCAATAAATGATGACATCAAATGCTTATCATAAATAGTGAAATTATAATGGTGTGTATGTAAACCACTCGTATTTGTCTAGTCTTATCGTCTTTGCTAATTAATTATCAATTCATCATACTCATAGAATGCCAAATAAATACCCAAAATTTACCAACAGCCATTTGTTAAAGTGCTTCATGGAGTGCTTTGATCAAATCAACTACCTACTATATTACTTGATTCAATATCAATGAGCAAATAACTGCATACTTCAACATTTATGATTTAGAAACACGTAGTAAAAAAGTGCACCAGTAGTGCCTGTGTAACAACATAAGACAAGGGCCAGGCAACAGATCGTTTATTAAGGAAATCAACACATATTTATAGATTTTCATGTACATATTATAGATTATTCTTATGAGAAAACACAGTCCTCTGTTTGGCTGTTTCTCACAGAAAGTTAACCTTGCATCTCTTTGTGGCTGTTTCGTGAATGTCATATCATCTATATGTTAACTGTATCCACCTACGCAAAGCCTTTCTTCTCACTTTTCTCACGACCAATATTGGGGACATAAATATTGACGTAAATTACTGTCCACCAATTTTGGCAAAAGCCAGCTCTCACCACACCTGCAGCACAAGAGGTATGAATCGCCTAGACTAAGTGAAACTGAATATGTGAAACTAGATAGTATCGGCTTTCAGTTCAACAAAGGTAACTTAGGGTATGTACTGCTTATAAAAACATACAGGTATTATGTCGAGTAACGAGTTCTCAGAGAAAAAAAAATGATAATTTGTGTCAGTGAAGAGAAAAGTCAGTCGCGAAACGCGAGAAGAAACAGACAATGAAGATATTATTACTATTTGCACATTGCGAGATCAATGTAAGGTCTGTGATTTCCTATTAAACGTCACTTCTGAACTAATTAGCCATGTTCACTTCAGTAAGAATAATACTTGGTGATAAAATAGGGCAAAGCTATACTCTGTACTTCCAATGAAGTGCAAAACGGTAACTAGTAAAACAGTGAATAGAAAAACACTCTTCAAAGAAGAGAATTACAAGTATTTACAAACATTATACGTCTGCGAATAAAGTCAAATATTGAAAATAGACTTAATTGTATGATACAAACATTAGCATAACTGACTCGATGTTCCACTTACCATCAAGCGTGATACAGTCGAAATTTTTCGTCCGAGCCAACTGAGTTGCGATTTCAATGCTACGACAAATCAACGTCTTACCGAAAATATGCAGCATAACACCACGAAATTTAGGATCGAAATTCAAACGAGAAATCATTGGAATCGCATCCTAGATGATTATGAGTAAGTAATAAAGTATAAAAATCGGTGATGGATAGCACAGAAATTAAAAAAAAACTTATTCAGAAGTTGGGTCTATGAACCTTTAGTTGATTTAGGTGGAAATTTAGTAACTAGTCGACACCAATTAGGGAACTATTGAAAACTAGGAAACACATATTGGAAATCTTCAGCAGTGAACACTAACCTCAAGGATGGAATTAAGGGCATGTTCGCTTGAGGGTTTGAAACTAGAACGAAGTCGGTATTCAGTACCTCCTAGTTTTCGGCTGTTTTCTAACCGCAAGCATATATGAAACACCCTAGAAAAAGCTTTTAGACCGATTACCGTATAACAGATGCTGAAAATTCACTCCACCTTTTTTTCGAATTGAAGTACGGGCAGTAAGCAGTTCAAGGTAAATTTCAAATGCTATTTGCATATGGCACTTGCTTAGTGTACAAGTTAGTTAGCATTTGTTTGCCGATCAAACTAATTTAGATTTGAACCTTGGTTGAATACTTGGAAAAGAATGTATTTCAAGTCTAGGGCATTTCCATGATACAAGAAAATATCGATTTAGAAAAACTAAAATGTGGAGTATCGTAAGCATAATTAGTTTTCAATATCAATATCACCGGAATGATGCAAACATTCCATACGATACAAAGGGGCTCCATACTAATTTTCTGTTTGATATATGACAGTGAAACAGTATTATTTACTGGATCCGGTATATATATATATATATATATATATATAAATGACAGTCCAGAGGAGATTCAATGAAGTATAATTTATATCAGGAACTAAACTGTGAGGATACAGAAAGTTCAGTAATTTACGTTGCTGCTTATTATGATTATTTTTTCAACTTTATTGGCTTACCTTCCGAGTGGAATATAGAGTTTCAAAGATTTAGCTATAGAAGTCGCGGTAGCAATGGTTATATTTTTACGGAGTGAGGTTGCTGGTCTCACACTCAACCTTCCCTCTTCACAGTCCTTACTACCAGCCTAGCGTGGCCTAGGAGTGCTTCGGCCAGGAATTGAACCCCGGATATTTGACGTGATTTGTGAACATTCTATCGCCGAATACCTGAAACATGATGGAGTACCTAAGCAACGATCTCACTACCCTTATTACAATTAGATAATAGAATTTGTATTGTAACTACTGTAGCATTATATAAAAATAAAACGAGTAACAAGAAATATAAATGAACAAAACACAAACTTACATTTGTCTCTGGATATGAACACTCCTGTACACACAATCGATTAATTGGAAGGAAATTAACTTCTCCAGGAAGATTGTGTTTATTTATTTCTGAAATCATACGGATAACTAATTTGTCATTTTGTACTACATGATAAAATAGACGTGAACCAGCTGTTACTTCTACACTAGTGTAGAATGTTTCGGGACAATCAATTAGTTCTATTAATGTCCCATGATAACCTTGTACTATATCACAATCTGGACCATAACGATCACGAAATATCTCAACCACCTGGATGTATGAAATAAAAAGGGTAATTAGTTGAAAAAAACCTTTATTTCGTGTTAACGTACTGAAATAATAATAACAGTAATCTAATCTACTGGCCTTAAAAATATTTTCTAACCTAACAACACAATAATTCCTCAGATAACAGAATTTTGTTCATTTCGGTGTATTGTGTAAACAATCAAATATCAGATATATGCGACAGTTATGATGCAAGTCAGTTGACTTTTAGTTAGGTTAAGAAGTGGTAAACAGTTTATCACAAGAAACACTACAGTGACAGTGAATACAACCAAAAATTATACTCAGATTTTATTTCACCCAATGATCTAAACTGCTAAACTACATACCAACATATTAAAGTTTATAGAGAAAACGCAAGTCAGTGAAAAATAACAACAATAATAATACCAAAAGTAATTTCAAAAAATTGCAGTTCAGAATAAGAATGGAAATTGCTTATTATTCTCTGAGTTCCTAGTTTCATTATCAGTCACTGTCACTGTCACACCAGAGTGATAGTGATACTCACTAGATGTCCAAAACTTTGATAAGCAGAGTTCAAGACCGCTTACTTGAACACCTAAATATGTGAGCCGCCCTACTTACAAATAACGAAACAATAAAACGAAGTTTAAAACAATCAGTTAGATAAAGCAATAAGAAGACGTAATTTGTCTGAATCGTGTAATGTATTTGCGCAACGGACTTGTCATAGGAATATATATGTGAAATTAATAAAGAGGTAAGAGGTGAGAAAACAGACTTAGGTCAAGTTAAAAGGACATATTCAAGGTCAAAGTAACAATGAAGACTACTAAACCAAATAGCAGAGGTAATAGTACATCTGCTATGGTATCAAAACAAAATTTACCAAGGAAGGTTTAATGTGATGACAAATCTGTGTGTGATCAGATTATTCGAAATGTGTTGCGCAAATACATTACACGATTCAGACAAATTACGTCTTCTTATTGCCTTATCTAAATAAAAGGAAGACTATTACTTCACAACTAAGTGTTTGTTAATGTTAAAATCCCGCTTCATTTTTAGTAAAGACAAGAAAATAAACTTGATGCTGACTAAATGCAGATATTAGAAAATAATGGAGAGATGGGAAAAAGGAATAATGGGTAGTTCTAATCTTGAACAGAGAACCCAACGAATCAAGAAGTATATATATATATATATAATGCGTAAAGGAAATCAGTGGTATTTTTAGAAAAACTACACATCTTGCTTAATGGTGAAGTACATAAGAAACGCATCGATAACTCTACCGCTGATAGAGGAATTGTGCTAATACCACCACATGGATGATCAAAACTAACTTTATAATATATTTGCTAAATATCTTGTGCAACTAATCTATGTCCGTTTAGTGAGACAATTTAAAAAAAGGAGCTTGCAAACAGAACAGATTTACTTCACACTGTACAGTAACTCAAGAACAACTTTAAACAAATGACATGTACTTACTTTACGAACAGAATCTAGACCGTTTAAAATGCCTTTTCCTGTAATAGATCTTAAATTATGTTCAGTTCGAGCCAATTCATCACGTAAATTATTTAGTTCATGAGCTATTCTAGTCTCTTCTCGATAAACAGTCTGTCTGTCTGTTTGAATCTCATCTTTTTCACGTCGTAGTCTACGTTGTTCCTCAGAAACCTAGAAAGAGATGGTTCCAGAAATGACAATGCACAAGGCAACCAATTATATGCAAGACATTAACGACTATACAATAAAATATACAGCTTTACACTTCCAAAAATTAAGTTGTCAATTAGCAGTGATATATTTCTTATGTCGAAAATTTCCAGGTCAAGAAAAATTGGAATATAAATGTGAGAACAAATTTACTTGGAAAACTTTCTCCGCTGGATTTATTTGGCTCTTATTGCCCGACTGGAAATTACTTAATGGATACTTAATTCCTTTAAAGAGTTTGAATGTGTGTGGAAGCGAGGGAAAAGCAAACACAACTTTAGTGTGAAGTAAAACAGAATAAGTGAGTTTTTTATAGTCACAAATATTTAAGCCAACGAAACTAAACCATCAAAAGAAGAATGGGGTAAATTACTCTTCGAAGATAAGCAACAGTACATCATGAGTATATGACACATACACAGATAACCAAATTACACTTTCCAGAATAAAAAAAGTTACTACACTAAGTTAGTAAATAATTTCCTTCTATTGTTTACCCGAATGTTGGATTATAGGTTCCAACTGGTTCATTAACCGAAATCTGAGTAACCACAACAGCTGAAGTAACTTGTATATGGTCATAGAGCCTTATTACTATTATTATCATCTGCGAACACCTCCAAGCAAAATAGAACAAATAAGAGTGGGTTATCCGGTAATCGCGTTCAGATTTGTGTGTTAGGCCTTGAACCAAAAAAATATTGTTAATGCTCAAGGGTATTCCTTGATATCAATAAGGAACATGGATTCCTTAGTAGAGGTTAGTTCCATAACAGAATAATTACTCTTTTATGCAAATTGTTGATTGTCAAAGAAGTGAGAACCTTACTACGTTCTTTGTTGTTACTTAGTTTGCCATTCGTATCCTAAATTGCATTAGTACTCGAACAGAGATTTCCATAAATGAATCATGCTTCTATCTGGGACTTTTAGGCAAAGGAAAGTTTAAAAGTAATATCAAATGCAGTTTTACAAAGCACCATTCTGAACAGGACTTTTAAAGTCATTATTAACTGAAATAAACACTACGGATCTCCAGAAACAGCAACCAATGCTACAAAGAAGAAACCCCTGGTGCTGGATAGTAAATAACGACCTCTTTAAGTGAAATGCACACACATACAACGGCTAAATGACATGCTTTTAACTTGATGAATTGGTCACTCTATTAACTTTCAGCATATGATTCATTCACATGACAACTGACCATTACGCGTGATGATTGCAGTGAAATGACAACCCAGTTGGGTCTCGTAACTCAAGTGGTAGAATGCCAGGCTGATAATTCGGAAAATATGAAATCCAATTTCACCGTGATCTACATCTTCATTTTTCTTTCTATCATTACCCATTACATTTAATTTATTAACTAGTAAATGATTAATACTTATCCATAAAAAACTCACTGTTTCTAATTCTTTTCTAACACAAGTCATATTTTCTTCAGCTACGTCCAGATCTTGTTGTAGTTTTTCACGCCTGTCATCATCTCGTTTAATTTCATCATTCAATTTATTGATGGTATTCTCTTTGTCCTTTATAGCCTTGGCTAAACTTTTCATCTGATCCTTAATCCATTCATCACGTTGACTACGCGATTGAAATTGATTGACTCGTCCTTGCTTGGCGAATAATTCCTTCCTAGTAGCATAAAATAAGCAGTTATAGCAATACAAAAAAGTAACAGACGACCTAACGACTGTACTATCACCTACAACAAGCGTTTTAGTTTATTTTTACCTAATGGAATGTAAAAGAATTTGTAAAGGCTACTTTATTATTGTTGATTCACATGCGACTCTATCAAGAAACTCAAGTAAGTTGAACCGTAAGGTAAATGACAAATCTGAATGAAGTAAGGGCTTGTAGAACAGTTTACAAAGATGTCAAGGCCATAGTCCAATAGCACCTTTTTCAGATAAAGTCCTTATGGCAAGTTATCAGCGTGTTAGCGAAAAAAGACATGAACAAACGTAATAGTTTTGGTGTTTTAAAGATGAAATTCATACTCAGAGGTTAGTAAACAAAAACGCATGATGTTCACTTGACAAACATTGCGAAGTGTTAATAACGATATGAAGAGATTAGAAAAAGATGCGTCATCAGAAACCAGATCACCTGTCCGATACAAATTAGATGACAAGTAGTAGTATCCAGTCACTTTACTTATCCTTAAGTTGGAAATCTGGTACTCATTCGGAATTCAAAAATGCTAAATTGTAACTAACTTTGACTAAACGCTTTTTTGGGAGACATCAAAGTATTTTAAGCAGGAAACTATTTAAACAATACTCACCTACGATGCTCAGCATCACTGAGTGCATTGGCCAATTCATCTTCATATTGTTTAGCCTTTTTATACTGAGGTCTCAATTCAGCCAATCGACGTTCAACAAGGTTAATTTGTTCTCTCACACGATTCAGCTCTTCAGAAGCCCGTTCACGTGCAGACTTACCACCTCGAAGAGTTGCTGAGTAATCAGCTATAGTAAGTTGAAGTTGTTCGCGACGCTGCAGAACATCACTAACAGATGCTTGAACCTGCTCTACTTCATCTTGCATTTGGGCTTCCTTCAAACGATTATCCCTTAAATCTCGTTCTAGTTTCTAAGAGAAATCAAATAACAATGAGAGAAACAAGAAAATACAGCAACAATTGCTGTATGTAATTATGATCAGTCAAAAATTTTTATCAAAAAATCCTACAACCCGATTTCACTAGTACTAGTACGCAAGTACAGCTTTATCACAGAGATTTAGGGAGCTGAGTATTATTACCGACGCTGACAAAACATATGTAGTTCACTTTTAGGTGCATGTCAATGCAAGCAGTTGACCAATAACATTTACCTACAAGTGTCAGACTAGGAATTATTTGATTAATTTTCAAATGAAGCTGTCCTAAATACCTCAGAATTTCCCTTTAATGAAATAACATCAGTGATAACTTGACATACACTGAATACGCCTAAATACCTCAACTTGGGAACAAATATAGTTTAGTCTGAACTAATCCGATTACTGCTCTATTAGTGCAACAGCAGTTAAGGATGACACCGTAAAGGAGATATGTACATGGTAGGAAAGACTAGCATCAAAAAACCTAAAACTTTGATTTTTCATACAACCAACTATATCTTTTGACAAGCATATAAACTATCTGCCGTGTGGAATTTCCTAGTGACCCACTCAGCAAAATTACGTAAGATGAGTGACAGATAAATCCAAACATATATTTTTACAAAAACTAATTTCAATTAGGAGATTAACAAGAAAGTATAATTTACCTCTATTGCATCTGCACAATCTTTGGCGGCACGTCGTATTTCCGCGGTACTTTCACTGCTTTGCTCTCGACGAGTCTGTAGTTCTTCTAGCTTCTTTCGCGTTTCCTTCAACTCTCTATCATATATCGTAAACTCTAAGGCACGTCTATCTCTATCCCAGTGTTGATATTCTTTCAATTCTTTTGTTTCATTCTCAAGAGTTCGTAAACGATCCTCAATACTGTTTAAAAGTTCAGATATTTGCTCCCGTTTAGCTTCTGTTTTCCAAAAACAAAAAAAACAATTTTAAGGTTTAGTAACTGCCAAAACTAATACAATTTTAGGATGAATATCAGTTTCTTCAGTAGTCCGTCATAATGCAAGAAGTTGGTATGAATGCGCATAACACACTTTCAAATTGTATTACGATGGTGATGAATGCAATCATAACCATTGTGATTAGAATTTGCACGTTTTAAAATTAAACTGATTGCTCAGTAGCACAATATTTCGTAACTTACATAATGATTAGCATCATACTGTAACAAAGTCTAAGCAAGTCACATCAAAATGAATAAAAGTATTTCTTTTGTTCTGAAGGGTACGGAAAAATCATTTAAAACTCAACTTCCAGGGAATGGGACTTAAAAGTGAATCCTGTCCGGTTTGAATAATTCACGTATTGCATGTGGCTTATACACTAATAAATCAAACTTAATAGCGTTTTCAAGTTACACAACTAATGTTAATGGCCATTAAATGAATAACGATCTATTCTTGACAATGATGAAAAAGCCAATGCAATCCGAGATATTTATAGGCATATTATTTCATTTGACTAAACAAATTTTGAGCGACTGGGGGAGTGCAGTAGTAATTCCACGAGGACGTCCGCCGACTCCAGATGAAATCTCCAGACCAGCAAATAAAGATATATGAATGTGCACAATCCAAAAGAAATGTGAAGTAAACAGTTGGACCAAAAGTCCAAATAACAAATTAGACATTTTATCATACATCTATAAGATAGTGAACAACTTATCTTGAAGAGAAGTCGGATTCGCAGAGTAACTGGTTTTAACAACCTAACTAAACAGATAAATTCAAATGCTGACAAAAATAAGCTATTTTAGGGACTACCACATCAAATATCGATTTCATGAAAAATTCTGGATCTTATTACATCAATAAGATCAAAACAAGAATAGCAAAACAAAAGTCAATTATTTGATCATATGCGGAAGAGAAATTGCTCATTTTTGTTCAGGGATTGTGTTAAGATCAGAAAATGGAAACCACAAGAGATGCTATCTCTTCGTTGTAAGAATGCATTTTACATTTTTACGCAAATGACTGAATACTTTAAGAAACGGTGATATAACACGACCTAGATCGATGGCTAATGTTACGCTAAACACGAAAAAGGCGAAGGGATTGGGCAAGATATCATAGAAGGGGGTTTCAAATGCAATCAACTCGAAAACAGGCGTCCAGTAATCCCACTTCTACAAACGCCTTTGGAACCGTTTAACGACATAAGGAGTAAATGCTTTCTATTTCATACCTGACTCTTTGAATATTTGTTTACTTTCTTCCTTTCGCTCATCGTAGACCCTGGTTCCAGCAACCTCCCTTAGTAATTTTAATCTTTGGTGATCAGGTGCAGTAGCCAGCTGAGTGATCTGAGAAAAAATCACATAAAAAAGGTAAACATCGGATTTGAATACTGAGACCGCTACTGAGTGATGTACTTGAAGAAACATCAAGACCCTTTAAAAAATAGCAGTAAATAATTATAAAACAAGAATTGGGACTAAAACCAATTGACACTCATTGACATCTGCACTAGACACATAAAATTATGGTAATGTTTTACTTATTTGAGGGATTTCACTTGAAATCATGTAATAACGATATTTATAGAAATCCAATAACTTACAACAAAAATTTGTAACCATTAACAGTAAAAAGCGTACTTAATTGTTCAACGTTCCTCCTTTTTACTTAATCAAACGGCTGTTTAGCATAGCCCAATGAACACCTTAAAGGGGGGGGTTACTTTAAGGGTCCTTAGGACTTGAACTAATACAACAATATTGTGTCTGCAATAATTAAGGTTCGGTTACCATGAAATTATGAGTATACATGAAGTCATTTCTTGTTAGTATGAGCTGAACAGTTTTGCCACTCCGGTGTATATTGACATGCACGTCATTACATGCTTCAACTTAAGCAGGTGACTGCTGATAACTAACAAGTGACACTGCAAAAAGACAGTAATTGTGTATGCTTCACTTAATCCACATGCACGAAAATCACAAGTAAATCAATACATGGTTGAGGCAAAGATTTAAGTGATAAATAACAAAAGCAAAAGGTAATATACCAACCTTTCCTTGTTTAACAATATAGTATGGGTTACTACGAGAAAATCCAGCGCTCTCCAGCATGTTCATTACATCGGCTTTTCTGGACGAAGTCATTAAATGCTACCAAACCTACGTGACCATCTTCTTGTCTAGAAAATACTGATCTTTCTTGCTGCCAATTATCCTCCGCAAAGAGACTTCATTTTTATCAAACTATATGAATAAAACTTTTTAAAATGCCTTACAGGAATTCGATTGTCTGAGTTGTCGAAAATCATCTCCACGTATGCAGAAATGACTCGTGGACCCGTGCCTTCGTGAAGCAGATTCTGTCTCTCCTGGTTACTAAGGTGACTATACTCGTCAGAGAGCACAAACTGTATCGCCTGAAAGAAATTAGACTTTCCCGAACCATTACGGCCGACTATTTACATCATAACTATGTAAACAAACAAACCTATTATGTTGTGATGTGGACTAAACTCATCAGGACAGGTCTGGTCTCTATAACTGCGAAAGCCTTGAATAATAACCTTTTTTATATACATATCCGCCCATTAATTGAGTCGTAACGTCAAATTTGAATATCCGCCAACGCTCTTATTCGAATAAACAACCAAACATCATTTTAAACAGCTAGTGTAAACCAATTTGATATTTTCGTGCCGGCTCCTTGCTTTTAAGGTGAAGATGTGTGTTCTTCGGTCAACTTCTGAGAAGCTCATCCCACCACTCGACTGTTGCAGCTTATGCTGGCTCCAAGAAGAGTGGCGCTGAGTTGATTATTTATAGATTGCAGTGTGCGGTATGTTAAGACCATGTCACTACTGTGGGTGGAGTTTATCTTCTCACCCATCAGTCGTCCATTGTGGCCGAAAAAGAGATAACAGTAACAATGACAGGTACAATTCATACAGATTATGTAGATTTTAAAAGATAAAAAACCAGCAAGTATATGAGAAAACTAATGAGCACAACATAATCGAGCAAAGAATATTCTTTTCGATAAATTCCTCTTCTGGCTCTACAATTATATACATGTTTATATACACAGAATATTCAAGGTTGGTAGTTAATAACAATATTATTTAAAAAACACTAATATTGTTATTAACTACCAACCTTGAATATTCTGTGTATATAAACATGTATATAATTGTAGAGCCAGAAGAGGAATTTATCGAAAAGAATATTCTTTGCTCGATTATGTTGTGTTTTATAGATATCTGAATGAATATTTTTGCTGTATTAAAACTAATGAAGTTTGAAACTGATAAGCACATATGGTATATATATATGTATATCAATAATAACGTTGTAAAGGAAGTAATGGTAAGTCAGTGGCACAAGGATAGGATACTCGCCCCCCCCACGCATATGGTTCGGGGTTCGATCCCCAGCCGATGCACTCTACTACGTCAATAAACCAGTAATAAGACGGGTAAAGAGAGAAGGTTGGGCATGAAGCTAGCAACCCCATCCCGTAAAAGTAAACTCCACTGCTACCAAAACTTCAAGCCTGTAGCTTGAAGCCCTACGTTTCAATGTGAATGCAAAGGAATAAAATAAATAATAATAAAATAATAAGGGAAGTGGTATATGAAGTGGTCAGATAAGCAGGAAGAGGGAAATGTGAAGAAAAAAGATGAGTTAAGGCGCACACTCACCAATAGTTCATTAGTTTACGGGGATAGTTAGTTTGGACTTGGTCCCAGTGTCGCTGAATGAATTTCCAGACCCCATTCGAAGCTATCCACGAACGTTGCAATAGCTATATCTAATGAAGAGTTCTAGAAGCGGTAAACTTGGAGTGAAAAGAAATGTGAGCCCACTTAAATATTGGCTCTCTAGTGAGCTATCCCGAGTGTATTGCCACAAGAAAAAACCCACATATACTTCATAGCAGAACACCATTGCTGGATAGTTCCGTTAATTTGCAATCTTATTAGCAGTGATTAATTTCCCCCTAAGCTGCCGGTACCTAAGTGTGAAAAGACCTAATTTCTTCAGCCATTCAATATATGGTTTATTTCTAAGACCCGTTACCCCTTTTGTGGCCCGTCTTTGGACGACTTCCAAAGGGCTAGCGTCTCTCCCAAGCTGCCGGGCTAGTGATGACCGTTAACCGTACGACCACACTTGCCCTGGCTACATACCCATGTAATTCCTGTGTACGCTTTTCTGTTAGAATTAGGCTTGAATTTCACTCCAATGTTGTGCAACACAATTTTTCGTTGTACAGGGTGTAACTTACATTCTGCAGCCTACATAAGCGTAGTCGCACTACTTTGCACTTTTCGGGTTGCAAATCAAAATCCTACCCTCGCCCGGTCTTCCAGAATTTTTAGATCTGTCTGCATCCCACCAGAGTTTTCCGAGAGTCCCCAAATCTTAACGCAATCAACAAGGAGAAGAGCCGGGAAGTTTTGACAGTAGAGCAAGTTGCTGACAGAAATCCAAAACACCAGTTGGCCCGTGATAGGACCTTGAGATACTCCTGATAACGAACTGTGCCAAGGTGATAGGACTCGACTGACCTTAGTGTGGAATTTCCTTTCATCTAGCCAGTCCTCCAGCCATGATGGGAGCGGCTCACTTTTACCTGACCGACTCATTTCTTGTAGGAGAAAATCATGATGAACTGTGTCAAGTGCCTTCTAGAAGTCTGGGGCGTCACACGGAATGGAACTTACTTATCCCAGCATGATGTCAAATCGTTCTAAGCCAATAGTAGGTTTACCACACGAGATCTATTTTTCCTGAAACCATGTTGTGCTTTATTGAGCCTATTAGTCCTGTCAGGGTGTTCCTTGATATTATCAACAATTAGACCTTCCAGTACTTTTGATACCAGTAGGAGTAGTGCTACTGGTCCATTACTCGAGGTGCTCTGCCTAACTGCACCCTTGAAAGTAGGAGGAAGGATGGCTCTTTTACAGTCCACTGTCAGCTCCCCTGAATCGTGTAAGTGGTGGAACAGGTAGCGTAAGGGCTTCCAGTGAGCTTCAGCGCCATATTCTTCTTATGACAAGATTTACCTGGAATGATCTCTTGTCATTCCTGACTGTTGCGCTGCACGCTTTCCTAAGTCCCAGGTATGTGTTGTGGTCAGTCTGACTCTAGGAGATTCGCCACGTAGACCAAGCTCTCGCTTTGCTTGTAAAATACGTCTGGTAGCCCTCTTCAATCACGGGATCGATTCTATGGATGTATCGCGACTAGAAGGATGGCATAATGTGAGATTGTTGTGTAAATAATCCATTTGACTACTTCCCAAATTTCCTCTACGGATAGATAAGCTCAGTTTGCGTGGGATTCTACGTCAAAAAGTCTTTGCATTCCAGCATGGTCGGCTTTGCTACAGCATACAGAGGGTTGCGTAGTATCCCTCTGTAAGTGCTCACGAGGAACGAGATCGAACACTATGACTATGTGGTCACTGCCCTGCACAGAAGTCATGATTTCGAGGTTTCCAGTTAGGATATAACGCAGCTTTGATGACTTTACATCAAGATCCCACCTAGCGTCATCTCCAAAACTGCAGGCAGTCCTAAATTTCTAGTGGTTTGTAGAAGACTTCAGCCAAAATTTCGATGCACAAATCCTGGACCAGGGTTAAGAAATGAGGCATTGGATACTCCAAATATGGTGATTTTGCCATAGCCAAAGCCTCGTACCCCTGTGATGGCGCCGAGCAGTAGCTGCTTGTGCTCCACTCCACAGCCGGGTAACCGGCAGTTGCCACTCATTAAATGCTTGGCATAGCCTATGGTGAAATTTTACCATACAGAGCCTGCGTCTGTTGCACATGCGCATCTAAGTTACTTGTCAAAATTGGTTGCAACTTCTGCCCGACTAGAACCACATCACTTATACTGATTTCACTTTCAGCAATAGCAGTGGTTAGCCAGGTTCCAATTAGGATTATTATTTCGAGGTGTAAGTGTGAAGGGAGGTTTCCGAATTTGCCTATTTTTCGCTCTTATCCTTCTTACACTACTTTATTGGCAGCTGACAGTGAGTCTCACGACCTCAGTGTACTGTGGGGTAGTTCACGCTATATAGGCCTCTGGGAGAATGTTGGAACTAGCTGATTGATTCCAGTGGAACCAGCTTGTTATCGTGTTTTCCTTGGGTTCGGTTAGGTCACTTGGGTAACACCGTCTGTCATTCTCAGTGCTGCACTGTTTCATCATCACTGAGGCATAGGGACGTAAAGGGACCTCATTTTGCTGCCTCCTTAAGGTCCGAGATTGGCTTTCACAGCATTGGATATGCCCTTGAATTTTCTCCTTGGTCTTAAACTACTGTTAATCTACATGCTTCCGGGACATGAATCTGACATCTAGTAGTCTTGGGGAGCTGATCAGTGTAAGACGAGCAGGACGAGGCAGTCTGGAATTTAAGATCATCCCAGAAGCATCAGGGGCCATCTGGGATGGCAAACGTCTCCACTGCTGTATGTCATGCATGCGCTTTTTCGTGAGTACTGTCAGGTATAAGCTCTGGAGCACTGCATGTGACCATGGAGGTGGAGGGCGCTAGTTCCTGTGACTCCCTCGCCATTCGGTGTGTGGCTATGGCCAATTATGACTTTCTATTATGTTAGATATCCTTTCGAAAGCTAGTACTTGTACCAGCAATAATACATTTATGGCGTCTTTGGCAAAGCTCACTGTCATAGACTCACAGTATGGTTTTAGGACCCCTTTGTCACAGCGTTACGAAAATTGCATTCGAACGCGGAGTCACTTTTGGAAACAGTGGCGCCACAGTCATGGTAGTCGTCTCCTTTCCCAGAAAACGCCTCCGAGGCCTTATGATGTCTTGAGCGTTTCTTTTCAGTTCTGCTGTGCGGGAAACATCGGTTCACTATGAACATAGATGTACTGCCGTGTCCGTTTGGTTTGTCTGTGGAGCTTCACTGCCAGGCTGTGGCAACGTAGGTGATATATGCACGGGTCTTAAGGTCTGGTACGTGAGATGGAGCTAAAATCCCCAGGTTATTTACTCCTTTGGCTGATGCCATAGTCCATACAGAATTTGGTGCCTTAGTGCTATTTTTAAGGTTAGTTTAAACTGTTATATTGCCGACTACTACCAATAATTCATAGATATGAGTAAGAAATAGCACAAGCTTCTGCCCAGTAGGACAAGAAAAAAGACTGATAAAGTACAGAAAAGGAAAAAGAGTTTTTACCTTACCTAGAACTTTCCGGCTACTCTGCTTCACAGCAGTCACATCATAAGTCAAAGTCTTGCTTATCTGGTCGAGTGAAGAAGAAGTTGTTGCAGAAGCAGCGCTTGAAGCTTTGGCGGCAGTTCGAGACAGCTGGACTTAATACATTAAAATCGATGTGAAAGTAAGGGTTGAATTTGATTTATACGCTTGAAAGTTCAGGTTTCCCAAGCGGATGATTCACAAAGTAGGTATTTCCTGGTTAGAGTGCAAGAAACATGGTCTTAAACGTCTCTGGTTAGACGCCAGATAGCGTCTATAAACCCATATGTAAATCCACGATTTAAGAGGTTTCATTAAACGAGCTGTCCCATTCGATCTGGCGAAATCCCGGTAGATGGCGACTCCGCGGATAATATAAACTTCTTCAGCTGT